ATTATCTCTTAATGCTAACATGACTAAATTTGTATTATTCCATCCAAGCAAGCATAAAAGTGTGAGTTGTACAAAACCACTGCTGCTCAATGGCAATGAAATTGAAAGAGTGAAAGAAATAAAATTTCTAGGAGTTATCTTCGATGAAAATCTGTCTTGGAAATCACACATACTGCATGTTATTGGTAAAACAAAAAGAAACTTGGCAGTTGCTGCCAAAGTATTCCAGTGTGTTAATCAATCAGCTTTACTAGCAATGTTCCAATCATTACTACTCAGCTATATCCGATATTGTTGCTCAGTCTGGCTCCATGGTAATAAAACACTTGTCTCAAAATTGCAAAGTATTTGTAATAATTTTTTAAGAATTCTTTTTAGGAAAGGTAAACGTGAAAGTGTAAACCATTTCTATAAAAAGCTAAATATACTCAAAGTTGAAGATTTAATGAAATTTGAAGTATTATCATTAGTCCATGATTTCCATAACAATTCCTTGCCAAACTGCTTCGACGACATACTAACTAAAATTACTTCCAATCGAAGAAGTAGTTCCAACCTGTTCATACCTTTTATGAGTACATCTGTGAGCCAGCATGCCTTATGTTATACTGGGCCCAAGCTGTGGAATTCTCTCCCCTTGAATTTGAAGACATTGAAATCCAAAAAATCTTTTCAGAAAAAAGTCAAGTCCTACTTGGTATCAAAATATTAAAATTTATTATTAGAATCACACTGTTATATATTTTTCGTATGTAATTAGCTACAACTTCAAAAGAAAGACCATGACATAAGTTGAGCTCTCTTCATCTGTTTTGCATTCTAGTTGGCATGTTCTATAGCATAAGATTTTCCTTAATATGGCTGTTCACATTCTGATATCTGCATGCGCATGTTTCCTTTTCATTCAATGTTGGGTTTCTGATATTCCACATGCGTGAACTTTGTTTTCTATTTGGGTGGTGTGATTCTTTGTGAGGGTTGTAGACAGTAGAATTAAACTCCTGTACCTAATATTGTAATTAGGTGACCAGTCGAGGTATATTTGGATTCTCCCCTATTGTTATTGTTTCTGAGATTACTAATTAATTTTGAACAAGCAGTTGAGCTCTCTCCATCTGTTTTGCATTCTAGTTGGCCATTTATTTTGTTCTAGATTTTCCTTAATATGGCTGTTCACATTCTGATATCTGCATGCGCATGTTTCCTTTCTTTTCAATGTTGGGTTTCTGATATTCCACATGCGTGAACTTTGTTTTCTGTTTGGGTGGTGTGATTCTTTGTGAGGGTTGTAGACGGTAAAATTTAACTCCTGTACGTCGAGGTATATTTGGATTCTCCCCTACATTTTAACTTGCTGTAGTACTATATGCTGCGTCCTGCGTGTGTACAAAATTTTTATCCTTGGTCGAATTTATGCTGTGTATAGCATGCAAATGTGTAAGGGTTAGTGTGATTAAAGGAATCTCGCTCGAAATTGTCAACTCTTACAAATATTTAGGGCTCATTATTGACAACAAATTAAAGTGGAACACCCACACTGTTGAAATACATAGGAAACTTTCAAGATCAGTAGGTATTCTAGGAAAGCTCAGGCATTATATACATGACGCAACCCTTCGAACCGTATACTTTGCCCTTTTCCAACCATATATACAATATGCTGTAGCTGCTTGGGGGGCTGCCTCCCAAACAAATTTGCATAAATTAAAAGTTCTTCAAAATAGAGCTGTTAGAACTCTCGCTAGAGCTCCTTTTCGTTCCAACCTAAACATCCTATACCCTAAGACCAGGGTGCTAAAATTGTCAGACATCTACAAATTAGAGGTCTCCAAGATTATGCACCAATACCACAACAATAATCTACCCGCAGCTTTTGACAATTATTTTCTAAGTCTTAGTAATGTACATGAGCACAATACCCGCTCCTCGACTAAGTCTAATCTTTTTGTACCACGTTTTTCCCTAGGCTTAACACAAAATTCCCTAAAATACAAAGGTGTACTAATTTGGAACAGTATTCCCCTCAGTCTACGTGACTCCACTTATGACATCTTTAAATTTAAATTTAAAAAATTCATGCTCTCTTCTTACCTGTCACCTGCCAGCACCTAGAGTTGATGTGCTGTCAGCTTTCCTCTTTGTCATTGCCAGGATTGCTTGATCTGATCCACAGCCTCTCGAATAGATTGACTTGATACTTTTAATAATCAATTTTCTGCACTGTGGAAGAAACAATCATGTTTGTTTTTATTAGATTCTTGTTATTACTTCATATATTCCACAGTGGAATAAATTTTCATGCTTATTTTTCTATGTCACACTTTTGTCGTACTTTATATATTGCCCAGTGGAATGAATATTCACTCTTTTGTTGTTGCCTACTTTATATACTGCACAGTGAAATAAATTTTCATGCTTATTCTTGTTGAATTCGTTCTGCACCTTTGATACTGCACAGTGGAATGGATATTCATGGTTATTTCTGTCTATTTCTTAATTTACTTCATATATTGTACAGTGAAATGAATCTCCATGCTTACTTTTTTTGAATTCTACAAGGACTGTTTAATTTTATGCAGAGAAATGAATAGTCATGTCTTATATTTATTATACTTTTTATTTTGCACATGAGTTTGTTTCTATTCTTCCTGTAATCCACAGATATCTGTGGAAGTGCAGTCACACTCGAGGGTTCATGTTTTGAATTAACCAATATCTTTTTTTGCATTTGTTACCTGCAGTCAAACATAAGTGCTCTCACTTTTGTTGAAATTATACCACAATAGCCATGTGGTACATGATCTAAAATTATAAGTTATATTTCAGATCTCTTATTGCATTGTAATTGCCTTCAGTAGCCTATTTTAATAATATCTGTGCAGTCTGTTTGTGGATTTCTGCTAGATCTAACTTATGTTTGGTTCAACGATAATCTAGTATTTACCAGAATTTTGTTTACCTTTTTAAGTTGATCTCTTTTTCTGTTCATGTATGAATTTGCCACCAGCACTCAGTCATCAGGCGGCTCAGGCCACTGTAGAATTCCATGAGTACGGTACCGTATAGATTTAAAAACCCCTTTCGGAACCTGATTCCAATAATATTGTTTGTTATTAATGTCTCCCGAATGAGGTACTACCCCCAAAACAATGGCCCTTACTGCAGCTGACAGGCGAGGTTTCTTAGCCCGTTTATCCATAGTTACCTCATAATGCTATGGTTTATCACTCTGATATCTAATAAACGCGGTTGACATGGTTACCCCCGCCTGTTGTGACTGGAGTCGCTTGCTTCCTTCGTTATGAACGAGACTCGGATATTCGGGTCGCCTGAATATATTCTATTTCCTTATTCTCTTAGTATTTAATGTTCGTCTTTTTATTCCTTTATAAAATTTGATGTTAGACTTCCTTGTAGGTGACGCTGCTCGATAACCATTACTGGTTTATCGCGTCTTCCTTCACACTAAAATGCATTTTTTTTCTTTTTTTACTTAATCCTATTCGTATAATGTGTATTTTCGGCATGTGTAAAAATAAACTACTGATACTGATGTTAATGACTAAGATAATGGCATACATGTGTGTGGTTTGACCGACATCGAAAGGTTTTTGCATGGTTTGTGAACAATTTCTCTTGTGTCCCAACCACAATCTCTTCTTTCTCAGGTCTTTCAACTAGCAGTCTAATGATATTTAAAAAATATTAATCACTATTTACACAATTCAACAACTTCCACTCAAAGGTGTAGGGTAGTTTTCTATTGATTCCTTATTTGCAATCATTGAATATTGTACTCGCAGATATATTTTTCGTTTTTCAGGACGTCATGATGATCAATTTAAATGCTATCTATGTCAACATGAAAGGTGTATACATCAACAAAACTTGCAGACTGATGAATCATCCGTGATGAATTTGAACTGACCGCAGTGATCAACAACCTCAATTGAAGTTACTTGCCTATAATCCATGACCCTAGAAACCTTACTTGAACCTTAAACACCATATATATTCCCCTAACCAGTTTTCCTACCTCTGTATCATACCTCCCTAATTAATTTTAATTATGATTACCGGTACTGTTATTGATTAATAGTATTTAAAATAATTTGGACGTTATTTGGCTTGTTGTGGCTTCTATTTGATGAGTGAAGCAGGTCTAGCCCACCTCTTCATACATCCTTCTTGGCAATTCTGATTGGGCAATTTGGCATCAGGTGACTCCAATTATAATCAGCTTGACGATATCTTTTGAGGAATACTTACCGGACGAGAGGCCGTGGTTCGCCATATGGATAAGCCGTCTTATCGGCTTTCCTCTCCCCCGGGATAAATATGTAAATCCTATCCTACTTTTTTATCCACAATACATTACTCTTGTTGACTAATTTGGTATCCAATTTTGCAATCCTCATAAAATTATTAATTTGGTGTGGCAAAAGAATTTATTCATTTTTTTTTTTATTTGTTTGTATATTTTCCTTCCTTTTTACTTTTAAGTCTCGCTTTTTTCGCTTCCGACAGTATCATGTCTCGATGATTGTGTGTGTGCGTGCGTGCCTTAATTAGTTTTTTTTTACTTTTGGGTGAGCGAACACGTACTACTTCTTTTATCAATTCAATACCTTTCTATCTAAAATCTGTACGTTTCAAACCTTACTCTAGGTTTTGTTCGCTTTCCCGATTCTATAATCAGTTACTTTTGTTTTTATCTATTTTTTTATCGTCTATTGCTGATTATGGAGTCGAAATAAACTTATACTTATACTTGGTTGTTACCGATGGAATGGTTTTTATACTCATAAAATGATGCGAGAACTTACAGAGCTCATCCTGTCCCCGTAGATGGGGGTGACTTGATCCCGCAGTAGCTTGCCCCGGTTGTCAAAATGACCACGCGCCGCCACTGCCGTTAATACTGATTACTGAATATTGAATAGCGCTATAAAACCATGGCAAGAGCTGCGCGGTTCGTTCGTGGCAGGAGCTGCCATGAAGTGGTAAGAACTGCGCCTCGCCCACATGCGTCGCCGATAAAACTTCTAAGTTTTGTTTACGACGTACTTTGCTAGAGACAAAAGTACAAAGAGATTTAGATCGCCTGTCCAGTTTTCCTAAACCTGCAGACCTGGCTGAATTTAGTACCGGTACCGGTACGGAAGTTTATTTATTTTATTTCACATATCATTCGTCACTATATTGATCATTGATTACCTGTGCGATAATGTGATAATATCCTGTTCTGCCGTCGGTTCAAAGTTTTGACTAATTTAGTTCAATATCCAACTTATATCAGTATACCTAATTTGTTCTGTATTGCAGTAGTCTAAAAACTTTGGTTTTTTAATTTACAGAGAAAATTTTCAGCTTGGAATCATCTTAATTTCTTGGCAGCTTCGCTTGTTATGTCTCTAACTCATTTGCAAGCAAACTATATTCAGTGGATACCAGTCCATGAACCCTGTGAGCAAACGTAAGCCTTGGTTCTTAAGCCATGACCACATCAACCATTCAGATAAGAATGTAAGTATTTACAGATTTAGGTAATTTTTACAATTACATGAATTACCTCATACCTGGCAAAATATACGGATGGTTGTCCAAAAAACCGTAGTCAAACACTTGCAATCGAAAGATGATCCACCAACAACAAAAAAACGAGAGAGAGAGAGTATGCTTTTGTTTTTTTGGTTTTGGGTGATTGTTCTCATGGTTTGGACGATCATTCATATATTTTTGGATGCCATAGTTAGGTGAGGATTAGAATAACTCATGCAAAAATTGTTGAGACAATTCCACTAGAAGTACTTGTGATACAATACTTTTCACAAACACTTTTATTTCAATCTTGAGTCTATAACACAGCTCAAAAAATGAACAATACAAATGACAGCAGTATCGGGTAAACAAACAAAACCTGGCGAACTACACATTTCATAAGATCAATAACCAAAATTTTTGTGCCTGCAAATACTAGAAAGTACATGTTAAATAAAGGTGCGGCTCGCGATTCCATTTAGTTATTTGTATTTGGCCCTCCTGTATTACAGTATTAAAGGTTGCACACCCCTGCAGCAGTGGATAGAAGCCCGTAAATTCCATAGCGTGAGACAGATCAACCGAATCGAATCAAACACTGAGTAGAGCTCTACGCACAACTATATATCATAGTATATATCATACTGAAATGTATTACAACACTATCATTTCGGCTCTCTATGTTTATAATTGCCATTATTTTAGGTACTAGATGTCCAAGAACTTCTTTATAAAAAAGAAGAAGAATTAAATAAAACCAGAGCAACTTTAGATGGCATTAGAGAGGAAAGAGATCATTTAAGAAGAAAGGTAACGAAGTTTGAAACTATATATAAACTAGGGCAGATTGGCAAATGCATCATAGGATAGGATTCACATATTTATATAGGGGGAGAAGAAAGCCGATAAGACAGCTCAATCATATGCCGAACCACGGCCTCTCATCCGGTTACCAGTCCAAGCAAGTGCAGTTTTAAGTATCATGTGGCGTCTGCAGCTGCCGCAAAACCATGGCGGTATTTCCCTACCATGGCCGCTACAGCCAAACCTATGGCGACTGACATTTTAGCTGCCACAAACCAATGTCGAGCTGCCGTCACCGCGGCAGCAAATTGAAAACCAATGGCAGGTAAAATTTTGCTGCCGTAAACGCGGCAGGTAGGCCGTAAAGACAGGGCTGTCCCTTATGGTGACAAATATTGGGTAAATCGGAACGTTTTTCTTATGGATACAGTTTTGATGGATTTGGGGTTAGGGTTTAAGTACATATAATTCCACATTAATTTGTGAATATACCGCTAATACCGATTACTGAATACTGAATAGCGCTATTTAACCATGGCAAGAGCTGCCGCGGTTTGTTCGTGGCAGGAGCTGCCATGAAGTGGTAAGAACTGCGCCTCAGTCCAAGTCTGGTATGGGATTAGTTAGCCAGTTATTTGTTTTTGAAAGCATAGACTTGATGGCGGAAGCCGTAACCGACCAGCGGTTATGTGAACCACCCTAAGGTGGCGAGAAGTCCAGCAATACGCATATAACCATCCCCGCATGGGATTCGACCTACGAACTTGGAAAAGTATAATTGAAATATAGGCTAGTTGGTAGTCTAGTTGGTAGTCATAAATATGACATTTATTCTAAAATGCTACTTCATTGTTATTTTTTATCACTGCCAGTTGAACACAATTTTTATATGGATATAAGATTTGTTCTTGTGAATTTGTATAAAATATTGATTAAATTATCTCCATATCGCCGGATGAGAACAGAAGGGGCCTAAGTTACATTTTTGGAAAATTGACTTTTTTCAATATTTTGGGGTTTTGAGCCATGCTCTACAAGGTGGTGGTCTTGAAATCCTGAATTTCTCAATAATAAATATTTTAGCTGGACTTGGCCTAAAATATTTCAGAACAGAATGGGCCTAAGTCCAGCTAAAATTTTTATTATTGAGAAATTCAGGATTTCAAGACCACCACCTTGTAGAGCATGGCTCAAAACCCCAAAATATTGAAAAAAGATAGTCCTAAGTTCCAATATGATGGGCATGAACATCAGAAATGAAATGTCGAAATTTACATCCCTAAAAATTTGTTCAGTGCAACTTAGGCCTAAGTCACCTTGTTTTACCTTGCATCCCATACAAAAAATTTCAGAAGTTGTTGAGAACAGAATGGGCCAAAGTTTCTTATGAGGGTAAAAAAGCAGGAAGGAATTGAAGCTGAAGTGCCAAAAAATATTGATTACAAAGATATTCTCATCCACATTAAAATAACCAGAGCTCAGGACTTTACTAAGTGTGAATATCTAGAAATTCGAAAATAAAAAAATTCCAAATTGTTTTTTGCGTTTTTCTCAAAACTCAAAATTGTGACTTAGGCCTGTTCTGTTCTCATCCGGCGATATTGCTTATAGGTGCACAATCTTCTCAATGAGTTAAACCAACTAAAAGGTACAAAGAGAGATGATGGCAGGAATAATGGACAAGGAACAGCAAGTAAGAAAATGTTAACTTACGGTAACTATGTTAGCATCACAGGTTACAGATCTTGGGTTCAAATCTTTCTATTTTTAGGTCCTTCTGGTATTGCTGTATCGAAAAAAGCTAAACGTGTCAAGTTGAAGAAAACACCAGTCAAAAATTCCAATGTTACTGAGGATATAGTAGGAAAGTTTCATGGAAAAGACTTAGATTCTGAAAAAGTAGGTTGAATACTTTGTTTGTATTCATAGAAAACTCATCTTTGTGACTATTTACAAAGTAACTAACTGACACACTATGCTCAACCATAACTGTACTGATTGACACAAACCCTGGAGCTCTGTAATTGGTATGCTGACTTTAGCTGTACTGGTGTCATATATCGTGTTCATCACCTCACCTAAAGTGCAATCAATTGGCTAAGCAATGTTGAGTCAGGATATTGCATCCTTTCACGAAAAAATAGCTTTTTGTTTATCATCATAGAATAGAGGTAACTAATAGCCTTGATTGGTTTGAAAAAGTGTCATATGAAAAATCTCCGTACAACTAAATATCTGTATGTCTATGGCAGGATGTGCAACCTTAAATACAAGAGGGCCAGATTTAAATAAGTGGGTGAAACTGTGGGCCGCACCTTCATTTAACATAAACTTTCTCGTAGTTGCAGGCGCAAAAATTTTGGTTATTGATCTTATGACATGCATTGTTCGCTTCGCACAAGCTATTTGTTAGGGCATTGTAACACCATAGTCCATAGGCATAGATAATAAATTGGATTCGGGTGTATATCTTGTCTAAAAGTTACAAACATATCTATCTAGTTATCATCACGATTCACAGAACAACTAGTTCAAGATTTTCGAACAAGTTCAAATATTCAAGAAATATTAAACGATTCAACAAATCCATCAATACAGAGCAAGTTTGAAATTGAATTAGAACGACTGAGTTGGTGAGTTGATTTTATGCTGATATAATAAAATTGTTATATACAAGGATACCTCCCTCGGTAGTCGAACATAATTCGTTCAGAATATCACTAGGTGGCACGCTTGGGTGTTTGAGTACCGCAGTGTTTTTTAGACGAATCTTTTATTCTACTACCAAATTGTTCGAGTATCGAGTTGTTCGTCAACTGAGGTATCACTGTACTACTTTGTGCTATGTAATATTCGAATTTGATATGGTGAAAAACTTTGTTAGAGAAAATTTGCTTGTCTTGTAAGATTTATTATCCTTATTGTTAATAAAACCGTCTTTATCTATAGTAGTTTGAGTAGTATTTGTCTGAGTGAAACGAATCTTTAAACGTGAATATAATGGACTGAAAAATATTTGTACAAAACGAATAAATGTGAAAAATAGACTAAAAGCAATTGATTGGTGTCATACATTTGTAAACTTATTTATTTTTTCTTTCTCTTATTGCTAAATGGATAGTTGATTAGATTTTTTTAATTTTATTCCTTATTTTCTATTGTATTTCAAAATTTCCAGTTGCAATGATCATCTAAAATCGGAGAATAATTTACTTCGTTTGACTCTTCAAGAAAGTAAAAATAAAACAGAGCAACTTCAAATGCTATTATCAAAATTTGAATCCAACAACACTGTTCAAAAGATGACACTATTTTATAGGTAAATATAGGAGCTGTTCAAGTTTTTGATCTTCAATAAAATTTACCTTTTTCAACAACATTTTTTCTTAAGATTGACAAATACGTAATGATTGCCCAAATGGTAAGGTGATACTTTGACCCACCATCAGGGTGATGGAACCTGTATCAAAATTCATTGAGTGTTTAGTTTGCTTTGAATTATATAGATGAGAGGGGTAAGCTTAGTTGTATTACATTGATTTAACTGCGTTGACTTTGTAGGTTACACATATCATGTTTCCAATTCCCCCTACTTTACCCAGGGTGTGATAAATTAAAGGAAGACCAATTTTTAAGTATGTGATTTTTGGTATTTAATCTTAGAATATACCTTATTTTATTTCTTTTTGTATGGAAGTAGATTATACAAATGATTATTTTTATATTTCCAGTGAACTAACATCAGAGGCCTATCTTGCACTTATTTCTTGTTTGGAAAAGGTTGTCCTTGAACAAGAGTTTCTTGAAGGTAGGGTTTGAAATTCATGTATATTTCATACTTACTTTCTAAACATGCCTCAGTGGCCTGTTTTTCGGTGTCTGATAATATTGACAAGCACCTGCATTGAAAGCTTTATATTTGGTGGAAATAGAGGACAGTTTTGTAGTGCTGGTAGATCTACTAGGATCCTGATGGATCGCAAATGTCTGGTGGACGGTACTAGTTAAATTTGTTTGTAACCAAGGTCGAAGACCTCAAGTTTAATTCCCATGCCCACCGCTTCACCTGGAAGCAATAATTTAGGAAGAAAAAGGTTGAACCGGAAAGATTTTTTCATAAATATCAGGCCCTACTTATAAAGAGTCTTGTTTGAAGTGAATATGTGAAATCATCTATTGAAAATATCAAATTCTTACGGCTATCTCATGGCTTTTAGCAGATAACTGCAGTGTGACAATATAATTCTTCTTTTCCAGATACTTTTCATCACATCAAACACACTCATAAATATAGGTTAAGAAGAACTTTAAACGGCCTTCAACATTCTTTAAATGATGATTTCAGTCCATCAGATGTTTCAAGTCATCTTCCTGATTTTTTAGACCAAATCATGGAAAGGTACAATTTTTTTTTATGATTTGATCAGGGGTTGGATAAATATAAAAAATTATTGAATCTGTATTTTGATATTCTAAATTTCTAATTTACTTTTCTGTTATTTATGTCAGCTGTTCATTATATGAAGTTACTGCATCTGATTTTCTAACAATGATGGAACTCTGTAAAGAAGTAAAAAAGAAGAAACAGGTCAGACGAATAAATACTTTGAAAATGCAACACCATTTTTTAGTTTTTTAATCATAGAATGTAATATGTTTCCTTAGAAAATTACTGTGGGTTGTGCTAGTCATGCTTTTCTTTACTGCTCCTTTCATTCAAGTTTATCTGTATGACAGTGACATGAAAGCACTAATTGAGTATTTGTTCTAAAATTTAAAGTTTTGATAGTCATCATTATGAAATCCGATTTAAATTATTCATGAATCTATATTAAAATGTCAGATGTATGGTGGCCCATCGTTGTCACATGTGAAATTAAAAAAAAATCCAAACAAAATAAAAAAATTAAAAAATTAAATTTGCAAAAAAAAAGATTAGATAGGCAAACGGCCCATTGTTGTCAACCTTTTTCATTTTTCATTCCATTTTTATTTCATTTTCGTTTTTTTAATTTTTCAATTTTTGCAAATTTTATTTATTTTTTTATTCATCAATTTTTTTTTTAAAAAATTTTTGTTTCATGTGTGACATCGGTGGGCCACCATACAGATGGAAAAATTTTTCTCAATATAATTCATGAATCACAACAACATTGTTTTTTGTTTATTTCTACCCAGGCAGTGAAACGTGCGATTGTGGATCTTGATTCCTTCTCTATTGGAACCCTACAATCTCCATCTTATTCCAACAAATCGGATAAAGTTGTCTCTGAATTTGATCTTGAAAACGCAGTCTTGTTGCATGAATTAACAAGTGTAAAGGTTCGATTATTTACAAGAGTGTTTTAGCCTAACGATAACGATCCTTTTGGAAACTTTGTGGTGGCCCACCTTCTACAAAATTTCAGTTTGAAAATTCGATATTTGATATCCAATACGACCGTAAATTTTCATATGCCAGTTTTCTGAAATTTGAGTTTTGTTCCAGGAAGAGCTTGTCAATCTTAAATGTGAATATCAAAAAGCAAACCAGAGTCTTCATGAATCCAGTTTGGATCTGAAACCAAAATCGATCAAAAGTAGGGTAAGTCTGATTGAAAAAGGTACTCCCGTAGTGTGTGTACCAGGTTCGGGTTAGGCCATAATTCTATTCCTTATTTTCCTTATTTCCTTATTTTAGTTTTATTACGAGTGTCGGGACTGTCTGTGCCAAGTGAATATACCCCCTTTCCAATAGGTTTCAGTCCCTTTACACAACTTGATGTAAAGTAGGCAAACAAAAGGCTAGAAGCATATGCAGGTATGATTGAAAGGGATGGGTACAGCATTCTTTAAAACTATGGCAAGCAAGGAAATCACTCATCCAAACTTCATGGAGCTAATGTGTAAAAATAAAGACGGATGAAGAATGCGGTCAACTCCTTGAGTAGCCTTGTCTTATAACATCCATTTTGTATCAATAGCTCCATTTAAGAAATCATCATTATTGTTTCAGACATCTTCAGCAGCTTCATATAATTGCGTTTGGACTGATTCTGCAAAATCTATGAATGAGGTTTGGAATACATTTTTTGTTTAAATAATTAATCTAATTGAATCATTCCATCAGTTATGGTTCAAGTATTGTAGGAGTAGAAAACCCAATGACAAGATGCATTACAATGCAAATTATGGAGAATATGATGTGTCTGCAAGTTGTTAATAGATCTATTTCCAATGCACAACACATATAGAGGATTTTAATATAAATTTCAATAAATACATTCTATTGAAGAAGAAAAAAACTAAGCTACTTTAGATAACTACTTTAAATAATACAAGTTGCTTAAACCCTTGTTTTAAAATTTTGGTATAAGTTATTCTACCCAAATTTGCTTATTTTTGGAATGATCAAATTTTTTCCAGTTTTTCCATTTCCTACATTCATTACACCCTGAGTGAGTTGTTTGGCATGGGATTTGATACCACCGCCAAACCTTGCAAAACCTGTGAAAAAACAGTGAAAACCCGCACTCACTTGTTTTTTAAAGTTAACTATACTTTTGACAGGCTGAAGCCGATGCTGAAATGAATAAAAAGCCTGCTTTTTTATCTCTGGCTGATCTCAGAATTAGTACTATGGCAGAGTCAGAACTTGGCACAGAGTTATCAGAAGCATTAAAAAGGTATTTGTCATTCCATCTGGTATTGGTTGTGTCCATTTTTGTTGTACACATTTCAACTTATATAACAACCAATTCAAATTATTACAATCGTTGGTGTATTTAATCAATTTTTCTGTAAGGGAGCAACGATTAAAGAAGGAGAATGATAGACTGGCTTTTAGTTTACAGCAAATTCAACAAAACAGTGAAAACAGACATATCAAGTCGTCTCAAGTTATGTCAAGTCTCAAGGATTCATATAGGTATGTATGAAAAATTCCACTATCTTCCCATTCACTGAGTGTCTTTTTAAGAGTGGACTGGGATTTTCACTCAATCATTTTGTTTTGGTGGTGGCCAAGTGGTGTTTGTCTTATTTATGAAAGAGTGGCGTTTTTTCGGTTGGCTGGTACCTTGGTTGAAAAGCATTAATGCTTTGGCGATACTTTAAAATATTTGATTAAACTTTTCTAAAACTATTCCCTTTTTATTCAGTACTTTGTTGGAAAACAGCAAAAAGGAAAAATTAAAACACAGGACCAGAGTACAAGAACTTGAGAAAGTACTTGCAATATCAGATGCAAAGCATTTAATACAGGTGCGTAATGTAAAATAATATATTTCTGAATATCTGATTAGAATTCAAACATCACAAGGTAAAACTAGTTAAACTAGTGGGATAGAATATTTTTACTTCAATTTACTTGCAATTATGATGTTCTATTTCTGCAGTTTGCTGGTAGTTTTCTTATGGTAAAAGCATTTTTTTTTCAGATACAAGAGCTGAAACGGAAAGTTTTATTTTATGAACGAGAAAGAGAAAATACCGTTTTACCTGAAAATGAAACTGCACTTTAGTACTATAATTTTCCATGACCTTCAATGTTTCACCATGACTGCTACATTTCTTATATATAAACAATATATATAGCCATCCATATTATATGAATTTTCATGACAAATTTTTCACATTTTCACATATTACAATACTGCATTTTTTTATAGCAACTGTATGTTTATGTTGATATTTATCTCACATTGTGCAAAATATTTCGAAATATTAAAAAGTTTTAAGCACTTATGTAAATTTCCATGACCTATTTTATCGCATGACTGATTTGACCGTTTTCCTTTTTCATTTTATTATTCTCCCATACGGCTACTTACTACTGAACCTTACTCAAGTGATGTGGTGGCCTCATACTGACTTTCAATTATCCATTTTTTCCATTACCTCTTTCAGTTTTATGTTCCATGTCCAGTTTAATATTACCTTTTATTTTATTCTGAAGTTGTTTTTTACATTTTCTTTTACTGTATCATATTTTAGCGTGATTCTTGTACATCTTAATATAATCAAAAGGTGCATTAGGCAGATATACCGATCTTTCAGAGTAGGGTAATTACTAGTACATATTTTACTTTCACGTTTCCCTTGGTGACGATTAAATAACAACATTAGTTGTTGTTATAGATATTTATCAGTCATTCTTATCTCTGAAACTCCGAATGGTAACGATGACTACGTACTGTGTATTATAATGACTAATCTCATGCTGTAATACTCGGTATCCCATGATGCATCAAATTCATAGCAAACTGTTCTCATGTAGGTTTTTGTGCTGTTTTTTTATCAGCATTGTGTAAATTTTCGGTTGCACTTAGTTCTTGCCTTGCACTGTGTTAAAATAGATTTCAAATAAAGTGTGCTTAATGTTGACAAATTGTGTTGAAATCTTCGCCGATTGCATGTCAACGAGTGCTGTCAGTTTCATCTTCTATAAACACTTTCGGGTGAAATTACATCAGAACACACCAGTCAAGAAATAAGTTAAGAATCTTGTGACATGAACAGCTAAAAGATATACTTTCAAAACTACGCAAAGGGTAAATAGAAAGCGGTAATAGTATCTCGCCTGGTATTAAATCTGACAAAATAGTTGAATGCTGTAAGTTGCGATAATGTCGAGGAAATTATTTTGTAACTAAACTTGCTTGAATCAGGCGCTGGAAGGAATTTACCTGAAATCTTTGTACTTGATTGGTTGATCATATAAATAGTTTACAATAGTTGCCATGTCACGAGAAATAGCGCTTAGCAGAAATTTCGAATTTTTTTAATGAAATTTGGTTGGAGGACCCTTCGAGCTGCAAATGTATAATTTCATACACATTGAAGTTGTTTAAACACAGGTCATATTTAATATTCGGCAAGTGCCGCCAGATGCACGGAAACAATACATCAGTGTCTGAAGTTTAGGCCCATGCAAGTGTAACAATTGGATATTTAGCTATTGGGACTGATAACTGGAGTAAAGGCCGGGGCTCGTCATATGATTCGGTTCTATCGGACCGTTATTTTATGAAAATATATCACGATACCATCATGTAAGATTTTTTTATCATTTTGCCAATTATTGAAAAGCGCCTTTTTAGTGCGACATCTTATGCTCTGAGTTGAAGCCTTAGAAACACGCGTGTCATCGTTTCGCTGATTTCGCAAGTTTCAATCTCACATGGATAGTTATGAATGATAGGATTGCCTAACTCTTCGCGGTTATAGGGTGGTTCACGTAACCCCTAGTCGTTTACTGTTTTCTTCACCATGTAATATATGTATCGTAGGCAAACAACCACCGTAATTAAATATTATTAATTGATTATTATTATTGATTATTATAATAATTATTTAATTGATTGATTGACTATTAATTTCCCTGTGATGAATTATGTAAATACTAATATGCAGTATTCTAGCAAGTTCAAACAGCCTAATAAAAGTAAACTATGTCTGTTTCAACACAATTGTTTTGCGTAGTTTAAATTCAGCCGTTCCCAATTGATAAATCCATTTTACATTTGGTGTATCCCTATTTACAACAAATAAAATTTTCGCTGCTTACGATGACTGTATTTTATTTTGATTTACGAAACAATAAATCTCTCTCTCTTATTATTGAATTAATATTTTTTGTTTCTGTTGCTTCAAATGTTTCATAGTGTTGACATTATTTGTGAAAGAAAATCTTTCTCTCACTCTTCTCATTTAGCACAGAAGTTCAATGAAGCGTAACGCTTAAAAATTTATCCATGTCTACAAATTAAACTTCAGTCTGAGAGTTCAGACACGCCCTGGCACGATGGTTTTTTCATTTTTGTAAGATTATGTCGCCGAGTTAATTGTCTTTTGTTTGATTATCCTTTTATTTATCCGATTTGGCAAGTTATGGTGTTTAGTCCTAGGTTATAATTCGGAATAAATTTGTGATGACATGGCGAAAATAAAAGGCGACCGCGTGAAAATGATACACCGCGAGACACATAGGAAACGGGAACGGGTTAACATTACCGGCGAAACCGACGCGACTAATACCTGAATACAGCAATATCGAGTTTGTTCTATAGTTTGTCAATTAGTGCGTACTGTAGTACGTTCTGGCAGTGCTACCGATATCATATGGATCTGCGTATTCAACATGATAGGATGTGTAATGAATTCAGTTTAGTATGAATTTTAATGCCAAAAATAGTGATGACGTCAAATATCCCAAATCAGAACATTTTCCCCCACCAATATTAAGAAAACTTATATGTTAGTAAAACTCGTATTTTAGGGTATTAGCCAGAGAGAGTGACATATTTGATAATCTGATAATGTTCTGCGTCAAATTGGCCGATACCAGTACCGTACTACAGAAAGACCCTACTAAAAAGGTAGGTATCACTCCATAAAAAGATAGGTATCAGTAGTAAATGACTAAAAAGGTAGGTATCAGTAGTCTGGTAGTAGATGACTAAAAAGGTAGGTATCAGTAGTAAATGACTAAAAAGGTAGGTCTCAGTAGTAGATGACTAAAAAGGTAGGTATCAGTAGTAGATGACTAAAAAGGGGGCTCCCGAAGTATGCGAACCAAGATGGCGGACATCGGAATGTAATATGTGTACTAGGTTAGGGTTAGGCCATAATTTTAGGTATAAATACTACGGGAGGCCCTTGGCTAGTCTTAGAACTGATAATAGGACTAAAATAAGGAAAATTGGAAAAAAATTATCGCTCAACCCTAACCTGTTACCCATGTTACGTTCCGATGTCCGCTTAGTCATTTACTACTGATACCTACCTTTTTAGTCATTTACTACTGATACCTACCTTTTTAGTCATTTACTACTGATACCTACCTTTTTAGTCATTTACTACTGATACCTACTTTTTTAGACACTGATACCTACCTTTTTAGTCATCTACTACTGATACCTACCTTTTTAGTCATTTACTACTGATACCTACTGGTACCTTTTTAGTGAGTGATACCTGTGATACCTACCTTTTTAGTAGGGCCCCTACAGAAGAACAGGATTGATTGAACAACAAATAATTTTTGTTTCTTGAATTTGGTAAAAATGATAAGGCAAAATGTTTTTGGCTAATACATGAGTTTTCTTAATATTAGTGAGGGTAGGGATAACTGAAGAAGGTCCAATATTTTATTGCTGACCGAAATTGACTCATTCATGGACCAATAGAACTGAACGATATTGCAGTATTGCATCAAATTACTAACAATTGCATTACCAAAGCTAAGTATTTCTTATGAGAAAAACATTCTTTTTTATTCTCTATTAATTTTATTAAAATATTAGCCATCATAAGCAAATGTAAATAGCATGGAAAGCTCCATAAAAGACGCTGCGGTTGTGTTTTGCAGATCGCAGGTTGTCAAAAAATCTTACATGGTAAACTTTTTGCAGTCTTATGCTAAATACAAATTTTTGCACGAAATCTGTAAAGATTTAATATCTTACACAATTTATTAAGCATTGGAGAAGCAAAGGATCTTTTTTAATTTGGTTCTTTTGCTTGTAAATCAAATTATTTCTTTATTACCATTCAAGATATCTGAAGTATCCATTGAAGTGTGACTTGTCTCATTGATCTCATAATGCAGTAATGCCAGAGCAGTTTAGTTATGTTTCATTGATCTCTAGATCAGCGTTTTCCGGTCTGGGGGTCTAACACCCATGTTGAAGTTAAACAAGGATGGGTCATGATGTCATCATTCAGTATCGCTAAAATTGCCCATGTCTATAATTCAATTGTTCTTCCAGGTTACTCTGGTGCGACTGAAGGTTTTTATCAGTCATTCCAACTTTGGTAAAATATCATCATGATTGGTATTAGATACTTTTTCATTGGAAATTTGGCTCCCTATAAGCACAATTAAATAAGTTCAATCAAAACCAAACTATACATGAAAAAATAGGATTAAAAATGTTAGTCGTCTGCCTAAAGAATTTGGGAAACTGTGTTTTAATCTATGTTATGCTGATGAATATTTCCACTGGTGTACAGGCTGTTCGCTCCACGGTTGATTCGCTCTTCATACCCTGACTTTTAGTGGCCCGAGAGTTATTCAAAATAATCATCCATAAATACACAAGTCCCTAAGATCTAAATCATGGTTTATTTATGATTCTCTTAGTCCAAGATGAGTTTTCATAGTTTTGTTGAATAATAAATAGAGAATGGTCATTTTTTCATTAAGTACAGAAGTACCTAATGCTAATCCAAAGAGGAGCAGCAATTGCCACCTTTTTACTGCTTATCATCAGTGTGGTCTGGATATGGTTTAATCCTCTTGCTGTGTAGCTCTGCTGTAACCTTGGTGTAGCAGGTTGACAGTTATTAGTAAGAATTTATAAATAGATGAAAAGGTGAGGCGGAGTTTGCAAGGTCAAATGGGCTGTTAATCATTACTGCATTAAGTTATCATGGGTCCTATTATATATACTACAGACTCTGATGAAGTGTTATTGAGGTGCATACATGCAATTTATGATTTTTTAGACTAGTTTCTCTCAACCGGTGGGGCACTGCCCACAAGGGGGTTGTGAAGTTGATTGAAAATAAAAATATTTGTTAGATCTTATCTTGCCTGCCTTATTACTTTTTAAAGCTTTTCATTATTTACGTTCTATCTATCCACATATTTTCAACATGTTTTTCGAATAATACATACTTTTGCCTTATAGGCTATCTGTTCTTTTTGTTATCTACTTATTTTTGAGGTGGGTCGCGAAACTTGACTAATTCTAAAATAAATACCCAGTTATATTATCTTTGTACTGTTGGTCATGGTGCGGTATAGAATTGCCGTTATGACCACATATGTATATATATTAGGCATGACATATATTCTGTTTGGTATTTATAACTTGAAACTGTTGACCTTGCATAGGATAATATTACTGGTTAGTTTGAGTTTAAGGTATGCAAAAATTTGAAATTTCGTTGTTGAATGGCTTAGAAATTTGTGAGTGGGAGGATAAATCATTAGATATATATTTTTCTGTTTCAAAATTGTATAACTTTTGTTTCAGATATCTATAATACATACGAATATTTCTTTCTCTAAATATTATGCACTGATGTATTGGGTGTATCTGATTTTGTGGTAACATACAAAAAAGAATAATTTTGTTGATCGTCTCATCTTCTAACCAAGGTCAATAACAATGTAAGTTTGATATTCTTTAACTTATTTATGCTCTCCATTGGGCGCTCCAGAAGTGTGTGTACCAATATGGAGCTAACTAATTTTGTTTGCTTACTTTACATCAAGTTGTGTAAAGTGACTGAAACCTATATTTATTCACTTGGCTAATACAGGCAAATTTCCGAACTCGTAATAGAACTAAAATAAGGAAAATCGGAAAATTATGGACTAGCCCTAACCTGGTACACACACTACAGGAGTATCCTTCATTGATATCATACTTTGCAATTATTTATTCATACTCTAAATCTGAAATACTTCTATTTAAGATATTCTGATATTTTCAAAATATTTTTCTCAAAACTCAATTAGTGTTATACAACTGGATATAAAATCAAACAAAGTTCAATTTGGGGTACCTGTGATGGCCGAAATCAATGAATTTATCATTCTGAATGTATTTAAATAAAATATTTTCGAATGTTGAATATATTATACATTTGGGACAATTTGTAGAAGTTATTTTAAATTGATAGTGATTGAATTCGATAATACATAATATTTTTTAATTTTTTTTGTTTTCTACAGTTAAAACTATATATTTGCTATATCCGAATATCACCAATTATGAATGTATATAAATATTTATTTCAATTTGTACATCATGGGTGTAAACGTGTATCATTTAGTTATGTCCTGTAAAATGCAATGCAATCATCTCAATTTTCATTTTCCCATACGACTCCATAGCCATAGACCTCCACATGTGTAATATGTTATGTATAATGATATCACGAGATGGTGAGTGTCACACTGATACAATGCAGACATCGTTAACTATTTACCTGCTTATATACCTGTCTAAGAACATCACTATTTGGATAGTGATACAACAATAGATTCATTGAATTAGTGTGTCAACAATTCTGTGTGCGCCATAAACATTTGGCTTTTATATATTGACTGGTTGCCAGGCTTATTCATGGTATGGCTTTACATTACTGGTAGGATGGTACAATACACAAGTTCATCATGATGTTGTTGTTTCTATTATCACAAGAATATACTATAAACATTTTAGCCAGCGACGTCTGAAACGAATAGAATAGGCCTATTCGAATATATTCAATAATTTACAAAGATTTATGTAAATTTCTACATTGAACATTGACCAAATTTATAATGTATTTGAAACTCGACATTTAAAAATTATTCCAAATAATATTTAGAAAAGTAAATTATTTAATTTAACCACCCTTCGATGTTAGTAAAAGTGATATTGTCATGAATAATGCCAAAACTTCAATATTCCAAATTCATGAATTTGAATTTTTTTATCCTATGCTTTCATAAAGCTGTCTTGGTATTATCGGAAATAGTATGTCTTCGAGTATCCAGTCATTATCGACCCTTGGCTGTCTCGCAAAAGGAAGTAATTTCAATGTATTTAATTTAAAGTTATGGCCGTCAGTATTCATTGAAGATATTACTATATTTGATATTCAACCATTTGGCCTTGGACAGCTTTTGGCAAAGAATAGTTTTGTAAGAATTGATAAATATAATAAAAATATAAAGGGTAGATTTGTAAAAATTGATAAATATTAATGTAAAATCAATGTTGGATCAATATATTGTCAATAATGTTCTTTGAATTTTCCTAATACTTCACCCAATGAACAAAACAAAGAAAGCTTATATCAAGAAGTTTAAACATGATATATATCCATAACATATGTGAGCTATAAATATTACATTACTCAAGAAAGCACAAAATAAATTGATATGTGAACAGATTCGGAATTCAGTTATTTTTGCAGGAGTATTTTTTTTCCAATTTTAAATATGGAAATGTCTTAGAATATGATTATATAGAACAGGGTTGTGCAACGTAGGCAGGCCAGATACAAATAACTGGGCAAAACCGCAGGCCGCATAGGCTTTCCAGTAGTTGCAGGCATAAAAGATTCCGATTCAACTGTTAGGGCATTAAAGCGTCATCAGGTATGAGCTTCGCAGCGTTGAGCGGATCGAAATTACTCACGCGTACCAGATTTAATCGAACTAAAAACTCTTTTAGCGGGCCACACACCATTCAAAATTAGCACTTCTTCGCACAATTTTCCTTGTGTGGCAAATTTGGGCCGCGGGTTGCACACCTCTGATATAGAATATCTTTACTTTTCTGAAAAACCTAATTTGCTTCATGAATAACTCAAGGTTTGAATGTAGTCATCCCATCAACTTGACATTTAGGCAACATGATATCTTATTCAGATATTTTTTTCTATGCTGATTCATGAATTGTTTTGGGTTATATTTGAACATGTCTGAATTGAGAATATTATATTTTAGATATAAATATTCTTTCAAATACATCCTAAATAATAAATTATTCAGTTTTACCCATCCTAAACCTGAAACTGCATCTAAAATATCACTCGGCGCAAAAATAGAGGAATGTACAATGAATGCATTACAGTTTTTCTTCATCATACCTATATTTTTAGTGTTTGGTAATTTGAAAGGAGTATGTACTTAGCATTGAAGATTCTGGATTGAGTATCGCCAGGCTTAAGTAGATTGATTTTATCTGGCCTTTGACATGAAGGAAGAGTTATATAAATAATATTGTGAAAAGAGCAAGGATACAGACATGAAAACAAAAAGATATTGATTTTTTCCTAAATTTTTCCCCTTTGTACCATTGTTAACAAGATGTCTAGAAAAAAAATAACAAAGAACAAAGAAAAACAAAAAACAAAGAATCTATCTAGAACAAAGCAAAAACAAAAAAGGTTTGTTTAAAATGGTGACAGCGTAGGCCACAAAAAGGTGTGAAACAAGTTGAATAACTGAGTTCAAAATTTAGAAAAAAGAATTTCCATGTTCGATATAAAAAAAGAATTTCCATGTACGGTATATCTATTTATTAACCTGACTAACAAACAACTCATAATATATATTATTATCATGTTATCAATTCTTATCTACTGCCGTAAACGAGCCGAGCCTCTTAGGATGTCAGTGATCGCCTTTGACTGTTCTGCATTTTTGAGTTGACGCAAATTAATAAAGATAGTATTAAGATATAGATTCAGAACTTATTATTTTGTTCAAATTATCTATATATGCACAGTACTGATCATACAGCAAAAGCCGATTGGTTCAGATTATGATTTGACACACAAAATGCTATTATGAAAGCAAAAAGTTTTTTAATATAAAAACAACATATAAGAATAAATTTTACTGAATACAAACAACTGTACTAGATTCTTATCTGGTATCATAATCAGTAATAAGATAAGATATATTAAAACTTGATGCTGATGGTCACATCCACATAAAAAAGCTGACGGTCACATCCACATGCTCTCACTGAGAAATATTGGAGATTAAACTCTGAGCGATGTTACGAGCAAACACCAAAGTCCCACGAGCCACTGACACTTAATATAGTGTAAAATTGCTCGTTATTGAATACAGATTGTTTTAAAAGGGGATTTTAACAAATTTGTTTCCATCACAAGTACTGGGTATTTTCAAAATACCAATGCCTTTTTATGACATCTCTAAAATAATTATAATGAAGAAGAGAAAGGGAAACTACTATATTAATGATTGATTCAATTGGCAAAAGATCTGTGCTTTTGGTCAGCTTGTAATCTATTCTGGCGTGAAGTTATTAATCAATCAAAAATTTATATACGGTACTTCAAATACTAATATGTTGAAATCTATCCTGTTCTAGAAAATGCCGATGTTTCAAAATATTTCATTATTGACTTATTGGAATATAAAAACAATGGAATGAAAACTTATTTTTTTAATTGAAAATTCTTTCACAAAATCTTATAATTTTATTCAGCAGAGTTATATTTTACCTATTTTGAATTAATCTGTAATTAATTATATCTATAATTAAGTTGTACTCATGATCATGCTCTAGTGACTTTTTAGTATTATGATGAATATTTAAAACATATGTTATATGGTGTATATTGCCATCAGGTTAAAAGATGAGAGCCAATGTAATAGATGAATAGTGAATAGTAAAATAATTTATCAATGTATGTTATTTATCCATAGTCTTTGGCAGTTGTAAAATCAAATATTATATAGTATATGTGTATTTGCCGTGTACTAAAATTTCAAAAGTTAAACTCCTTTATAAAGCAACATATTTTTATATTACAATATCACAGATAATACAACGAAGTCGATACGCGCTGAGCACCCGACGTACATCGTAGACGAATCTACTGCTAATCGAGGTGCAAGATCCAAAGTTGCAAGCAGTATGCAAGTAAGCAGTTATATTAAATTTGTTTTTTATATATCTTTCATATCATTTGTTGAAAAATATTTGGAGACATTAACAGAGACTGAGGTGTGTAACTGTGTAGACGTCATGATTAATTCATATTGTAGACTGTTGTTTTGAACAAAACACGACTTCTATGATAATACTGTAAAATGAGATTACTGATGAATAAAAACGTTATTTGCTGGTTATTGATTAACAGTACCAGCGTAATCATGATTTAATACTTCTAACTGACTTTATTTTATCAATCATTGGATGAATTCCAATTTCCGTGAAGAAATGGATACTAAAACTTTCGATCAATTTTAAGTCATCTTATTTTTGCCAAGTATGACTGAATGTGATAAGAATCATTGAGGTTAATAGTTTATTCAGGCAAAATTGGTGAGGGGGTTTCAAGGATTACAAATATCTGAGGAATACTAGATAACATGGAAAACTTTCTGTATAGCAAAAACGATTCTCTGTAACAGTTATTTTACTCATGGAAATTCACTGTTACGTTTGTATTTTATGTTGTCAAACATGTTGGTTAAAGGAGTTCCGTTAGCTATGTTGGCCTTCTAGCTTAAAACCCTTAGTTTGAAACATTGTGACCACCAACTCATTGATATTTTAAAACATTCTCAGGCGATAAAGTGTGTTGTGGTCGGAGATGGAGCTGTTGGTAAAACATGTCTCTTAATCAGCTACACTACCAATGCATTTCCTGGAGAATACATTCCTACTGTGTTCGATAATTATTCAGCTAATGTTATGGTTGATGGACGACCTGTTAACTTAGGTTTGTGGGATACTGCAGGACAAGAAGATTATGACAGGTAATGGTTTTGACTTTTAAATAAGGAATATTTTGTACCAATTTTCATGTCACAAAAATTAGATGATACAAAATATTCATTTCACGGTGCTCCTGAAGTATGCGAACCAAGATGGCGGACATCGAAACGTAGCATGGGTAACAGGTTAGGGTTAGGCCATAATTTTATTCCAATTTCCCTTATTTTAGTCCTACTATGAGTTCGAAGACTAGCCAAGTGCCTCTCTTAGTATTTGTACCTAAAATTATGGCCTAACCCTAACCTAGTACACATATTACATTCCGATGTCCGCCATCTTGGTTCGCATACTTCAGGAGCCCCCATTTCACAGATTAATTGGATATAATAGCTGTTATCATTCGTGTTTAGTATTTTGTGCTGTTTCACATCAGTTTCAGTCACTGATTTAGTTATTTTAACATATGGAAATTCATTTGATACATCTGACCATCTAAAATATGTATTATTACATCATAATGCTTAGTGGTGAAAATATTTCAAGACTTTAAATGGTCAGCAAAAATTGCATCAACTGACTACCGCTAACTTATATTATGCTCGTTCAGTAACCTGAAGTAGTTTTGATGATATGTGGGGCTGGGGAGCTGCTTCAAAATCCAGAGTCACAAATTCAGGGATGGCCATTTCCGAATACTAAACTATTCCGAATACATTCCAAAATAATGTTTTCGAATCTGGAATTCCGAATACATTCTAAAATCGAAAATAACACATTTTTGTTTAGTTTATTAAAACCCAGTAAATTAGGAAATAAGCTTCAATAAAAATATCAGAATAAAGCCACAAACCAACAATATATGTACACAAGATAATTGATAGTTTATTGCTATCAATAAAAAATAATATTAAAATTATTCACTTTGTACAAATGACCATATGAAAAGATAGCCAAGGAGTTGTCTAACGCTTTCTGGTACCATGATATTATGATAATAGTCGAGTCTGTTGACAAAAATACTACTTGTATTCAGATAACTGTGTATATTTTCTGAGAGTAATAAAATTTATTGGCAATACAGGCAACTGAAACAAGCAACAACAATCGAAAATCCATTATGCCTTTACAAATTCTAATATTTAAGCATAGAGTATTCTACTACCTACCAGTATATTTGTATATTAATTTATGTGAACCATATTGTTATTATGTGTAACATATTGTTGTGTTTGAAATAAGAAATAAATTAGTAGAGGATAAATGACCACCACTGCCAGCCGCGCAGCCAGGAATTTCTAAATCGGAAATTCCCATTGCCGCCTGTAACACCCAAAGTGACTTTGGTAACACCCACCGCGATTCCGCGCTCGTTAAAAGAGCCGTCTTTTCAGCGTATAATGATCATCCTGTTACGTAAAATATTCAATCAATGACAACTACGAGTTTCTAAAATATCTTTATATATTAATTTAATGTGTCCAACGTAACTCGCGGTTGCTTCTTCTTACGTCAAAAAAAAAAAAACATTACTATTCGGTCCACGGCGATCTGTGACCTAAAAGTACGAGATAAACTGCCTGATGTATTTAATTTTAATACTTATTTTTGCAATCTTGCCAACTCGTTATCGCCGTTAGAAAAATCTCAAATAATGATATGAAAACCTGTTAAGTGTAGAGTATAATTCATTTCATACAATGAATATAAATATAAAGTTTAGCAGTAAATTGAAAATACGTATTCATCGCCGCGATTATGCTACCTGTTAAAAGAGTCGACTTTTACAACAAATAATATAACAATATATTTTTCTGTTGTGCAAAGTGATGAATTCGTGACCGATACGGGCATATTTAAAATGTCTTGCTTCATTATTAATTTAATTGTCTTCAATTTAACCTGCGGTTGCGTCGACAAAATAAAATCCTCACCACTCTTATATACCATTGCAATCCGTGGTCATAAAAATAAAAACGTGTGGTAAACTGCCCGATTAAATAATGTTTTGATCCGTATTTTGCGAATTCGGCAAATATTTAGATGTACTCAATCGAAATGCTGCCACTCTGCCATTATTTTTAGATAAAACCGTTCGAAAAATCCGTAAATCTTCTGTAACATCTCGGAGTGAAATTTATTTCATCAAAATAAAATTGATTAAATATACTTTGAAAATATTCGACGGCAATTTGAAGTAATGGATAATCAGGCAAATCCTGCCCTCAATTCGTGACGATATGTTTCTAAACGCCAACTAACATAATGTGTGCCAGAGGCACACGAAATTCTGCGATTTTCACTGCCTAGAAAAGCGTTTTGCAAATTTTCGCGGGCCTCAATAAAACTTGTTCTCAAACTCAATAAATATTGTTTACGGTTTTATTTTCAGTATTTTAAATTGCCGCTTTTCAATCAAAAAGTTACGTTGTCTTTAGAAACTCGCCGCCGATGAACGTATTTACCAGATTCACAATTCCGTGCGCATACAAAAATAAAATAATTGTCTTCGTTACGTGCAACAAATTTGTGGAAAATTTTCGTTTTAAAGGAAATAACACAAACGTAAAGGCGTGTACGGCCTGAATAACACGTTACGCTGATGAGTGATGAAAGCAATCACGCGCAAGTTTCTATCGAGAATGTTTTCATTCAACGGAAACATCTTGAGAGCGGCGTCGAAAATGTGTGACGTCACACAAATATCCGATATTCTTATGAACGCTACTTCCGATATTCGAATGACGAGATATTCGAATTGGCCATCCCTGGTCACAATATATTCAAACCAAGTCTTCATCACCAGAGCTTCATTATTTCACTTCTTAACTGGGCTTCAAAGTCATAGCCATTGATGCTTTTTGGTCCAGCTTTATCTATTAGAGTAAGATTGGCTTCAACCCCAGATTTTTTTGTTGTCACATAAATTGATTCAGTTATTTTGTTTAGACTTCGACCTCTATCATATCCTCAGACTGATGTATTCTTGATCTGTTTCTCTCTTGTATCACCGGCATCGTATGAAAACGTCCGTGCAAAATGGTACCCGGAAGTGTCCCACCACTGCCCAAACACCCCGATTATTTTAGTCGGGACCAAGCTCGATCTTCGTGATGACACGGAAACGATAAATCGTCTCAGAGAAAAAAGGCTTGCTCCTGTGGGTTACCCATCTGGTCTTTCACTGGCTAAGGACATTCGTGCTGTGAAATATCTTGAGTGTTCAGCTCTTACTCAAAAAGGTCTTAAAAATGTCTTTGATGAAGCAATCCGTGCAGTTCTCTGCCCACCGGTCAAAGAACGCAAGAAAAAAAATTGCGATATTCTTTGAAAATTGATTGCATTCTTAATAATTATACAATTGAAAAAAGTAAGTCAGTGCGATAATTTCTTAACTAATAGAGGAGTATTTGTGCAACAGTGTTCTGACTTAGCATGCCCCCTTACGCTACGTAGTCTGTAATTTTAAACTTGCTACTACTCGACGCAATGCTATCATCGAAGAATTAATTGTACTGATATTGGTAGTTTCCGTTATCAAATCAATTAAATATTATGAGCAAGTAATATCATCTTCATGAATTTTCTTACAATAATTTGAATCTCTTACTGAGGATATGACGAAATATATACATCTATAAATCTTCAAATAGCAGAAATTTGATTTAAAATATATGGAAATGTAGAAAAGTCAATTAGGATTGGAGAAACTGAAATCCCAGATATTTTATTTTATCTCACCTAAATGTAGATGTATATGTTTTATCCACACACCCTCGATCAAAAGAAAAATACAAATCGAAAAAAAAAATTTCAGATTTTCAAAGAAGCAATTGACCAATTTTACCAATAATATTTGAGTATTAATTGCCCATGAACATTCAAAGCAATAATTTCGCCAATTGAACCATTCTGAAAATGTAGGCTTTCAGAATTTCAAAGTAGCAATTTTAATTATTATACAGAGCATGTTGGGGTACAATTCCATAGGACTACATTCAAATTACCTGAAATGTTTTTTTAAGATAAAAGTGACACATGCGGCATGCCTATGTTTTTGAATGGATCCTACTCCTAAGTTCGAAAATCAAAAAAAAAATTATTTAGTGAATTTTAGGAAAAATTGTTTGTGTTTAATAGGGACAATCTTTGATTTTATATCACAGAATTCAAGTATAGGTTATGTAAAGCCATTCTTAGTTCAAGAATGTTGTTTTGCTTATTGTGGCGCATTTCGGAGTCCTTTCTAAATTTTTATATTCTCAAAACCACATTTCGTATACGCTGGACTTTTTGGAATGAAAATTTTCCTACAACTTCAAATTAGAAAATCGTACATTGCTTATAATATTCATCAATTCAATGTTTTATAAAAACCTCATATTTCATATCGGCAACTGGTTTTTGTTACAATTTCATCGAATGATACATTTTTCATCAATATCCGCTTGTATGTGACTCCATTTGCTTTTTGCAATGCTTGGTGTACTTTTGTGACATTTTGGTAAATTTTCGTTTAATTCAGAGTAATACTCAACAAAAACGTAGAATTAATCGTTAAAACAATGTTCCGTTTTTTTTTCTTCAATAAAGATTCTAGAATTTCTCAATGTTGAACAAAACTTGTTAATTTTAACATTTTTTTAGTTCACCCACTTTTAAAACAATGCCACGTGGCTTCTGTCATTATTTGTTTCCTGTTGTCATTCATTGCTAAACTTTAAGTATAAATCCTTCTGTTTTTGACATTGTACTTTCATGTCATATCCGGTACTTACTTCTAGCACAGAGCAATTTATAGATGTATGTATTTAACTAATTTGAGAGGTCAATGAATTATTTCTCTATTTGATAAAAAAAGAATTTCAGTTTTGCCAACAACGTTAGTTATTTTATTTTTAATCACCTTATTCGATTTACCTTCGGTATGGAGTAGTTGAATCGTTTTCTATTTAGTTCGATTCATATTATATTTTCATGATATAGAACCATTTTTACATTATCAATTTCCAAAAACTGACTACGAATTGTCATATTTTTCTCTGTGCTTATGTCTCAATTCATTTTTCTTTGTATATAATTTAATGCATAACTCACACAGTAGCAAATTATGCTTAGCTGCTTTATGGTATTATTAAATATCTTGGAATGAAATTTGAGATGCAGTTTTTGATTATATTGAACTATGGATCAGGTATGTCAAAACGTGAGGAATACGCTGGTCATCATACCTCTGATTACTCTGGTCCCGTTCGAATCATGTGGGCGATAATTAAGTCAGAGACGATTGTTGGAATCCTTGCCGGCCTGGAGTGCTTCACGTAACTGCCAGGGTTTCTCAAACTTTTGAAAAAGTCGCGCCTCCTTTTTTAAATTTGTCAAGTCTCGCGCCCCACCTCAAAAATAACTGGCGGACAAGAAGCTACAAATAGAAGATAGGAAGGTATGTTTTATTAAAATAAAATGTGTAGATGAAACGTAAGTAACAGAATGAATATAAACTTCCAAAATAAGGCGGGCAAGATCAAATCCAACAAGATTTTTAGTTAGCTTCATGCCCCCTGAAAAAATTGTCTACGCCTCCCGTATTAGGGCGCGCCCCACCGTTTGAGAACCACTGGGCTAGTGGATCATGGCTTTCTCCATTTGAAACGAATGACCGGCTGACATGGACAGATAAGCAGACGTCTTTACTCCGATTTCCTCTCCCTTGAAATAGAACCGCTACTTTATCCTAAGAAGAAATGCGGAATGCAACCCATCCGCCTGACGATAATATCACATTCTTTTCGGTTCTGCAATTAAAAAGCTTTCCGTTATTGGACAAGTAGTGGACATACCGATCGTTTCAAAATTTTGTTGTTGGACACGTTTAGTGGCCATACGATCGTCTCAAAATTTTGTTGTTATTGTTATTGGACACGTTTAGTGGCCATAACGATCGTTTCAAAATTTTGTTGTTATTGTTATTTGTCTCCGTCTCCATTTTTTAAAAATCGCTTTTCTCTTCGAATACTGGACCAATTGCTTTGATACTTTCAGTGGTTAAAGATAAAATTTTTCTCCAGAAGGCTATTACTTTTTTTCGCTATGACGTCATCAAAATTATTGCCACTGGGTGGTGCTACGTGTCCATATATTTGAGCATAGCTCTCTTGTTATTGCTATTATTATTATTTGTCTCCATCATTTTTTAAAAAATCGCATTTCTCTTGGAATACTGGACCGATTGCTTTGAAATTTTCAGTAGTTGAAGATAAAATTTTTCCCCAGAAGGCTATTACTTTTATTCATTTTAAATATTTCTGTGAGATTGTTTTTTGTTTGCTATGACGCCATTAAAGGTTCTGCGGACATCGTACGCCATTTTGTGTCCTACTGTACTGATTCGCTTGGTGTGAATATATTTGTAGACTGTGATCTGACGGTACGGTAAACCGTACTGTACTGCGAACAGACGTGTCCATATATTTGAGCGTAGCTTTCTTGTTCTATAAATGACTACTGATTCCATAAAAGAATTCCTGTAAACATCGCACATTTTTTATTGGCGGCGGTGTGGCTCAACGGGCTAAGCGTTAGGAATACGGTCGCCACCGCACCTCTAATTACTCTGCGTGGGTTCGCAGGTTCGAATCCCATGCAGGGATGGTTATGTGCGAGAGGATTGCTGGACTCCTCGTCGGTGTTGGGTGGTTTACGTAACCGCTGGTCGGTTACGGCTTCCTCCACTACCAAGTCCATGCTTCCGAAAACAAACAAAATAACTAATCCCATACCCGACTTGGAATGGTAACCGGACGAGAGGCCGTGGTTTGCCAAATGAATAAGCCGTCTTATCGGCTTTCCTCTCCCACGGGATAAATATGTAAATCCTAAAAAATATGTAAATCCTATCCAATGGAAGTTTCGAATTGCTATCTCGTGTTGCCTCTTGTGACATTAAATAAATTATTTACTTAATCGCCCATACCCAAGGCCAGATTTACCATAGGACAAGGTAGGCAGAAGTCTAGGGGTCTCAACATTCATTTTTAAACTTTTATTTCATTTTTAAGGGCGAAGTCTTTTTCTAGAGCACTGCCGTTTTAAAATTCTGAAAAATGATTGTAGTTTATTTTTTTAATCGGGTACAAAAAACTTATCAAATATTTGACACACAAGAGGTTAATTAATTGAATACGGTCAAATAAATGAATTTGTTCAAAATTCCTGAACATTATCGCGCCAACATTGGAAACAAAATATGATAATCTAAAATAATTGAACCAATTTTATTGTAATAATGTCTTTATATAAATAAAAAAAAGGATAAGAAGAAATCGAGCGACTTTCAGCATCCTTATATTTTTCCTATTCCAGATCTTTTACATTGTAAATATCTTCATTTTCCCCAATTGTAATTATGATGCCTGCTTTAGTTTAGAGTGTCCTGTCCTGGTATAATCGCTTCTTAGGGGTCGGTCGACCTTGTTGACCTTGGAAGTCTTGCCCGTCCTCTTCCGTATATATTTTTATGCTTATTGTTGTTTGCTTATGGTTACTGTATTATGTACTTGTATTGGAAATAAGTCATTATCTATCCATCTAAATCAATATACAGTATTTAAAAAACCGGAACAACTTTATTGTAAGTTTTAATCCGGTCCTAGCGCATCGTGCTGAGTCCGGTAACACAATTGATATTGCACCTCCGATCGCCCAGCAAGGACACGCAGAGTGAAAACTCGCGAAGAGTAGTTTTGTGGGAAAGAATCGCTGGGTGGTTCGAGTAGCCGCAGTTCACTTTCATGTTCCCTCCACCATTTTAGCCCTTGCTTTAAACAACAAGTAGGTTAACTATTACCATATCCAACACGAACCGGTAACCTGATGATTCGTCATAATGATTACCGTAAGTCTTATATCAACATTTCTCTCTCCTTTAGGTAGGCTACCTGGAGTATTTAATAAATATATTTATATTAACAACACAACCTTTTCAAGTGAAACTTGTCACGATTCACTTGGTACCGGTACCTTTACTGATCTGGAGAAGATAACGTTGTTTGCTATGTAGCCTAATTAGACCGTCCTATGTACTTTTCTCTAAAATGAAAGAAACGTATATGAAAATTCTGAAGAAAAACTTTACTCGAGTGATGTATCACTGCTTGATCTTTAATATAAAAGTATCATCCGTTCGGTTTTCAACTTTCTAAAAATATGTGCAACCCGCCAATGACATGCAAGGTTGCCGTTTTCGTTTGTCCTGCAAGTGTGCAACCACAGAGAATGATAACCCTCTATGGTGCAATACTGGTACAAATTCAGAAATTTCAAAGCGAATAAGCAACATTCATTGCAACAACATCAGAATGAACAGTTACGGTAGGCTACGTCTCTACGTACTGGTGAAGCGAACTTATCGTAAGAAAAAGATTTCAAGTAGCTGCGGTTGGCTGGCGAGTTGGTATAGTATAATTGTGTAGTTACGAATTATTACGGTACACTGTTTGATAAAGTGTTCGGTTTTATAACAAGAAATCAAATGATAAAAAAAAAAAAAGTTGACACATAAAATGTCAGACGAAGAAGATGATGGGAATAGGGCTACCAAGACAAGTAACAACAATCCTGAGGCAAACCCTAATATCAAACGACGACGAAACACCATAGTGGTTTACTTTAATAACAATTCCTGGTTAAAAAGAGAAGATGTTATCCATATTATTTCTGATAAAATAGAGAAAAAAGATATCGCATGTGTGTATGAAATTCAGAAAAAGTGGATTATCACACTGCGGCAAGATGAAGCTGTAAAAAAACTGTTGAAAGAAGGAATACCCTACAATTACAAAAATGAGGTTTACGTCACATACCCGACTATTTACAGGAATGATATCACTCATCTTTCCATGAGTCAAACACCATATGATATATCAGATACAGAAATATCAATCATGCTTCAACCATTCGGAGAATGCCTGAATATTTGAACAACCTTAGATGACAATAGCATTTCTGATGGAGTTAGGAAAATAGAAATAATATTGACTAGACATGTTACCAGGAGGCTGAGAATACCATTCGACATGGGTGGTGGCGAGGTTATACTGGCATATGATTCTAGACCAATTATCATTGGAGTGTATTGCTACATCTGTAGAAGCGACTCACATCTGGCAACAAAATGTCCGAACAGGCAATTATGCCAGTTTTGTGGGGATAAAGGAATGCCCCATTTGACCAGAAATTGTAGATACAAGATACCACAAATGCAGCAACAAGAACAAAGAGTTGCGCAAGAAATTGAAGAAGAGATTCAGAAAAACATGGAAACGCAACAATCGAACAATTTAGATATACAAAGAACAGATGATTTGAATATTGAAATGGTAAAAGAAAATGGTGAAAATGAGAATTCAATTACTATGCAAAAGTCACAAGACAATTATGATGGTATGCCATCATAGGCAATGAAAAATCCAATAAAAAACATACGACTGTTGAAAATGAAATGAGCATTGAAAAGCTAACTCCAAATCTACTACAGCAAGAAATAGATGCTGTTGAGTCTTTAATACAACTCCAACAACAACCAAATGATAAAAATTGGTCAAATATGGAGAGAAAAACTCTCATAGTTGGTGATTCTCAAGTAGAAAGAATTAAAGAAGCAAATGACAGTGAAGAATTGAAAATTAAACATGTGAAGGGAGGAACTTTCAAAAATGCTACAGATTGGATCTTTGGAAATAGCTTTTCTGTCAACAACTTGATATTAAGTTTTGGCACAAATCATGTAAAAAATACAAACTATGAGATTGAAAAACAGCTCAATGCAACCATAGATGCATCAAAAGAAAAGGCATCAAATATATTCTGTTTGGCCGTAGTACCACAAAGAAAACAAAGCCATGTGAGAATTAATAATATCTCAAAACAAGTAACTCAACAAAGAAAAATTGAATTCATTGATTGTCCGAAACAATTCCTAAAAGACGACAACGAAAGCCTATATGAACAAGAGAGCTATGCTCAAATATATGGACACGTAGCGCCACCCAATGGCAATAATTTTGATGACGTCATAGCGAAAAAAAAAGTAATAGCCTTCTGGAGAAAAATTTTATCTTCAACCACTGAAAATTTCAAAGCAATTGGTCCAGTATTCGAA